TTTTGTTGGTGATTTGTATCACCAATATCATTTAAATGTAATGAGATTAATTTGTTTACCAATGTAATCTTGATAAATATTGGACAAGTAAGGGTGGTGGGGAGTGCACACTTGTTTGAGTTTATTTCGGTTTAAAGTATACTGTTATTAAGGGGCGAAGCCCCTAATCGACGGGGGTCTGAGGCAGCGCCCTTGGTAGCGGGTTCCAAGGGGTAGAGCCCCTGGTTAATGTTATTATATGGAAAATGCACGAAAATCCGAATTTATGATTTTGAACCCGATTTTTGGCTCTATTTTTAAACTCGGTTCGGTGGTTTTGAAACTGCCGGTTTTGATAGTTCATAACAATTGATTCTCTGTTCGAAATTACTGAATTTTATCCGATTAAAGTTTCGATTGTACCATCGAAATATTTTAATCTAAAAGTGAATCACGACTTTCAGTAATCCAAGCAATCGAAACACCCAGAATTTGTAACATTTTCTGCTCTRTTTGTCTAGTCTTTTCCATGGCCATTTTGCTTTGAGCAAGCATTATAATTTTCATTGTATGCACGTTCTTAGTTAATACAAAGTGTCTTTTVCATATAACATTTTCACTACTAAACATGATAGTTTCTCTGGCGAAAAATTCCGTCAAAAATCTACTGTAAAAAGAGATTTATCGTGGATTTCCCGACCGGAAAACCTTCGCCGGAAAACACTATTTCCACCGGAACTCCGCCACTTATTTTTTTAAAATTTTTTGACTTAATTAATTAAATTAATAACTAAAATTATCGTTGGATTTTTGATGGATTATTGGCCGGTAATTTAATTAGATTTTTTACAAATTTTATTTTGTTTTTAAATTTTTTATTAAATTATTATTCAGTGAATTATTTAAAAGTAAAATAAAATTACCGACAGATTTATACGCCTCTAATCCATTTAATTTTGAACTTTTCAGTAAAAAAATAATTGAAAACTACTATTCATTTTATTCGATTTTTCTAAACAAATACATATATATATATAGGAGACGTTTCATTTACAGACCATGTAATTCTAATAAACTTTACAAATCAATCTTACCYCTCCATCTAGTCTAATAAATAACTGATTTTATTTCGTTAATCAAATTCCATTTTGACATTTGGTTACCCATRGAATTGAATTGAATTCCAAATATTCCCTCAAATGTGGATTTCACCATTCCTTCATAAAAGAAATGGAATTGGAATCCGTTCTAACCAAGATTTTTAAAATGACAAAAATACCCTCATTAAAACTTAAAAACTCTAATCGCACCATCTTTCTCATCTAATGCATCATCGTCCGAATGCCTCACTCCTTTAGACTCTCTCCACCAATTTTGACTTCTTCCTCTTGCGATGCAAATTTGATTTTGTTTATGTTTATGTTACAATTTCCGTTTCTATTTCGATTTCTTTCCTTCATCGAACTGCTTATAGATCTACTTCTTCGATTTTTACTTCTTTCCTTTATTTTTGTTACTTCTCATCAATCGACGTACGATTTTATTAATGTTCATGGATCGACTTCTTCCTTCTTCATTTTTGTTCTTGATGTAGATGTGGGTCATGATTAGGTTAATATTTTTGTTACGATTTTGTTACTCTTCAATTTTTGTTATTGTTTTGATTACTGGTTACTGTATTGGGTTACAATTTTGTAAATATTTTTGGGTTATATTTTTGTTATTGATTTGGGTTATTGATTTGTTACTGCTCCATATTACTGCTTCATCATCATCAAGTTGTATATTTGGCATATTTTTATGTATGATTTGCTCTTGTGTGGATGTCTTTTGTTAATAATATATTGTTTTCTGGAACAGGAAATAGTCCGACTTATTTTAGCAACAACACGCAAACGTAGGCTTATTAGATTGTTTTGGAAAGCTATGATTGTTATTGTTTAGTATATCGTTATGATATTGTTATTGTTTTGGAAAGTTATGATTGTTATTGTTATTCTTTGTTAAATGTGTATCAATTTATAATATTACATAGGTATGCTTATGATAGTGATGCTATTTGCATATCATATCTTAGGATGAATAGAAGGTGTTTTAATAAGTTATGTGATATGTTTGAAACTTTAGGTTTGGTTTATATTGGTAAGGAATTCGCGCAATGCTCTGATGTGCATCTTGATTTAAAATCAAGAACTTAAAAATGTCAACCGTGTTTCATTTTTGTCTCTTTTTTATCCATCCGATGCTAGTTATATACCCGTACCATGTAACTTATGTAAATTTTGAATACATGTAAGCAAGAATACCTAGTACAAATAGATTTTTAGCAAATAAAATATATATGTTGATCCATTTTACATTTTTATCTATATAGACATATAACAAGTTTCAAATACAATATATCTTATTTGTTGAACCAGTACAACCTGATTTAAACCGTCCATGTTAAGATGAAGTTGCATTGGTTGTACAAATGGAATATGTTATAAGATAAACCATCTTTACTGGCCTAACTATAGCATAAATACCCACGAGGATTGAGAAGGCCTTGGGTTTACTCTTTGGTTCGACTCCCCCTTTAGGATACTGAAGGTTTGTCTAACTGTTAATTTCAGGACGCAGTCGAGATACATGCAAATTGGTCTAAACAATCATAGTTACCTTGCAACCTAATCACCGGATTTGTGGCCAAACCAAAATGAGCTCAAGTGTAACCACCAGGAAATGGAAGAGTAGGGTTTAAGGTTTAGGATHTAATATGCAACCCTGAGTGCCTCAATTACCTAAGAGAATAGTAGTTATATGATAGGATCATGGTTTGGCTATAAATGCAAGTCAACCCAAAACCAATCACGGAATCACCTACTACCCATTTCAAGACAAACTTTCTTCTTCGTCCTACGTGGGATAACACAATTCCACATACTATCTATTCCAAGACTATATATTCTACTTAATAAACCAAAAATAAAAACAAAACAAATCAAAAAGAGAAACTTCTCGCCTTCTCGCATGATCCTTTCTCACTCACTCTCTCTCTCTCTCTCTCTCTATATATATATATATATATAATTTAGTCAAAACAGAAATGAAAGAAAGTTGAAAGAGATGTTGCATAAAGTATTTAAGAAATTCTTGTATGCTACAGAAAATGTTACGATGAGTTGAGGGGAAACATGAAACTGGTATGGCTTTTAACATATCATCAGTAGTAGGCTTATACATGATTTTTTTTGTGAAAACATACGTATCCTTTCCCGATATACTTTAAATTTTCATTTCTAAATGAAATTTGGACCCATTGGACAAGGTAGCAAAAATCAACGTCATTGTCTACCATCAAAGACTTGATAAGTCTAAAAGTTTTTTTTACAATAATTCAATACCAAAAATTCAAACCAATAAACGCTCCTACATGTTTATTATTGTCCTAATATATAAAGTTTCTAACATGGAAAATTGTGCTCTATTTTTAACTGTCGACAAACATGAATCGACARTTTGACCAAGTCTCRAGCAAACTTGTTCAYAACAGGAGCGATAATGTATCAAAAAAATAAAATKGTGTATTTCTTTTTAGTAATAAAAAGAAAAGTGTTGTATTATAATTGAAACAAGAGAAAACATGATATTCCATGTTAAGACAATCATAGTAATAATTTCCTGAGTTCAATGCAAATTTGATACTTATTTACGTAAACTAATGCGTAAAGATTTTGAAAAGAATTTTTAATGAAGACAACAATGTGTTTTCAATTTTCTAATAGACAATCTCATGGAAATTGAATGGTTGGTATTTTATGGAATTTCGTAGGATTAATATTTTAAAATATGTTTAAAACATTAATTAATCAAAAAGTGATTTGATTATTTTTATAAATTATTTATAAAAAAATGAATTCAATTTCAAATTCAAAGGACTCTAAATGTTTAAATATTTATTAACTTTTTAATAATTTATCAAATGATCAATGGAAGTAAATAAGTAGTTCTACTGTCCAATAATTCTACAAGTAATCCTGAAAATAGAAAGCATCCATCACTTTCAAGTTTCAACTTTTATGTGCACGACTTTGACTTTTCAGTCGTCTGTGTGATAAGATTTTTGAACAACCCTCAAGTCACTCAAAATTTTGGGCCCTAACATTGTTTAAGGAACTATTGTTCACAAACTGTTCATATTGTTGTTTATATATACACTAGCTGCATATCTCAACATTGGCTTGCTCCTGAATGTGTTCATAATGAAGGAACTATTATTCACAAACTGTTCATATTGTTGTTCATATGTACACTAGCTGCATATCTCAACATTGGCTTGTTCCTGAATGTGTTCATAATGAAGGAACTATTGTTCACAAACTGTTCATATTGTGTTCATACCTGTTTTTTTATTTATTTACTTTCGTGTAACAACTATTCTTATTATATTCATATTGTGTTCATAAATGCTATACAGTCCAAGATCATATATATATATATATATATATATCAATTTTTGTTCGTATTTGACACAATGGTTCATATATATATATATATATATCTGTGTGTGTGTGCTCATATGGTTATTACATTAACAAAAATAAATTAATAAAAATAATGAGATTTTTTGATTTTGTAACTCCCAATTAATAATAGGAGAGTTACATAAAAAAGAAAATTACCTAAATACCCTTTTCCCCTTTGTTCACATATGTTTTGAAATTGTAATTTTAAAAATTTAATTTTTTATCATGATTAATCACAACCCTTTATTGTAAAGAATCAATGGCCAAGATTGATTAACAAAGTTAACACAAAAATCTTGATTAGTATTTGAACCAAACTCTATATTTTGTTACCTTGTTTTGCAATGTAATCCAAAACTTTAGGTATAACAAGACCTTCAAAGAGAATGGAACGAACTTTCTATATATATTATGGTATATATATTTCTTTGTAGCTTCCTTCAATCATATTCACCGTTATAAACACAAATCCCTTCCTATATTCTCTGGTATTAATCGTTGTTCTTAGCCAAAATGAAGTTGTTTCAAATTTATCATTCACTTATCATGCTTTCATTAATAACAACATCAACATTAGCTATGAATTACTCCAAGGCGGGATGCGAAGATACGTGTGGGAACGTAACGATTCCATACCCTTTTGGAATTGGAGCAAAATGTTCCATCAATGAATGGTTCGTTGTCGATTGCAACTCCTCCACACCGTATCTTCCTGCACTCAACCACCTGGAAGTCCTTGCTGTAAACTTGGAAAATCAAACAGTCACTCTTTATGTGCCAACTATCTATGATTGCCAGAACCAACTCCTGAACAGGAGCCATATCTCAAGCATCATTCTTGGTAGTAGCCCCTTCCTGATTTCCAAATCACAAAAAAAATTTGTTGTCGAGGGGTGTGCCAATGCATTCATCTCGGACGATAAGGGGAGTGTGGTCGCTGGATGTTCAAATTCTTGTCGCAACGACACTGTTAGCGAAGGCAACAATTGTTACGGCATCAAGTGTTGCACAGCCACACTTCCTCATCATCTCAAGTCATACAGCATGAATCTAACGGGGTTGGGTGGAGAGGGTGCATGTGGGTCTGCCTTCTTGGTGGATGAGAATTCATATGTTGAAGGAAGCTTCTTAGGCCAATCTATTGCTTCAGACAATTGCTCTGTCCCCCTGTCACTTCTATGGATGCTAACAGACAGTGATGATTTGCATCAATCATCTTGTTGTGATCCGGGAGGGGACCGTATAAGCTCTCCCGTGGATTTGGGGAATGGTACTTCAGTGGATTCTCGAATATGCTACAAGTACCGTAATTATGAAGGAAACCCTTATTTACCATTTGGATGCAATGGTACGTAAATTTATGTAGCTTGTTTTTTGTTGAGTAAGTAGTGGTGTGTTGGTTTTTTTGTTGTTGATAATTTCTGTGATATGATATATTTTAGTAAAGGAAGAATGTACAAGGTGTATCGCTAGTGGAGGTTACTGTGACTACGGAGAAGAGACTTTAGCTTACGGCTATAAGCTAAATTGTATTATGGATCCCTTTGGTGATCCTCGTCACCTAAACAGTGAAAGAAAATCCCATCCCCTGGCTGTTATTCTAG